GCTAAGTGCTGAAAGGGTCCATGGTAATTAAAAGAGCTCAGATTTTCAAAGGGCACCAATACCATGTAAACATAAGGGGATTCTACGTGCTGTTCTCAGTATGTCATTTGAAGTTGCTGGGGTGAGGTGTTGTGGCTGCTGCCTCTTCCGGTATGGAAAGCACCACGCTCCTGGCTGCTCACCCCTAAGGAAGGATGGAGAGACCCAGAATTAATGCCAGGGCCTCCCGGCACGTGCTGCTGCACAGACGTTCCCACCGTTGTTTGTAAGTATATGCAGCTCTTCTGGCTCCCGATTTTGTTTTAGTTTTAATCATCCAGCGTGCTGCTGAGTTAGTGTCAGTGTTTTTCTATTGCCTTTTTTTCTATCAGTGGTCACAAAACACGTGTTCATCGTGTGCTGTTTGCCTTGAGATCCATTTCACAACCGCCCCTGCAAATGCGGCTTCCCAGGCTGGCCTACTGCCTCCCATTTAGGTTCGGCCAATGGGAAGTGATGTCAAGGGATGGAGGTGAGAGGGAGGGGAAAGTGAGAGCATTTTGCTCCCCACCCGGACCCCTCACCTCCAAATTGGAGTCCCTGGCAGGAGCTGCCCCTCCTGGACCAGCTGGGTGTCAACCCCAGCTCTAGCCAGGCGATACTGCCTTGGACCCAGTTGCTACTGCAAGACTCAACTCCGGGTTCTACCTTGGCTTCTCCAGATCTAACCCTAAGAGTAGCTGCTGCTAATTTCTGAGGTTTGAAAGTAACAACGATTCACACGAGAGGGTTCATGAAATACAGAAAATTCAGGAAATTTCACACTGTAAATTATTACAGTGTCCCATTTAGAAGCAGAATCTGAGACAAGGCTTTGTGTGAAGATTTATTAGAAAGTGTTTCCAGAACAACAACAACAAAAAGAGGTGGGGCAGTGGGAAGGTGAGACGGGGGAGCAAAAAACGTGAGCCAGGAGCCACGTGGGTGCTGCCGGCTTCCTCCTGCTGGGGAGTTCTGAGACAGAGTCAGGGCTGGTCATGATCCAGAGAGGCTGCATTGCTATGAAGGAGCTGGAGTATCATGCCCTGAGAGCAGTAGAGGGTTAACCTTACCCAAAGAAAGGTGTGGCCCTGGCACAGCCCCTGTGAGGTGGTCCGATGTCCTCTAATGTCCTGCCTGATAAGTGTCTGTGTGCTGAGGCCTCGAGCCACACCAGGTGGCTGATGCTAAGGATGGGATTCATAGTGGAGGCTTTGAATCAGCTTGACCTCTCCAGGGACTAGAGACTAGGTCAGCCATGTAGACGGTCCATCATGTTTACGTGACCAAGCTTTCAATAAAAACGCTGACGCCAAGGCTCAGGTCAGTCCCCCTGGTTAGCAATGTGACACGCACGCTGCCGCACGTCATTACTGGGAGAACTTAGCAAGGCTGCACAGCCCCGCCTGGGAGGGGGACCCTGGAGCTCCACAGCGAGAGCTCTCCTGGGCCCCACCCCAGGGGCATCCTCCCACTGCTGACTCCAACCTGCTGTGTAGTGCTGGAACCACGTGTAGTAACAGGTAATTGTGAATCTGGTGGCCATTCCAGTTCCTATGAGTTCTCTTGAATCATTGAATTGGAGGGAGGTCTTGGGGGCCCTTGCATCCACCCATCACTGGGTAAGGGGTGTCTCAGCCCCCCAGGCAAGTGGGGTGAGCACAGGAGCTCCAGCAGCTTTGGGACAGATGATCGCAGAGAGACACAGGCACTGGCTGTGGGGGTCACAGCGGTACCCGGAAACAGCGTGCACAGAAGGAGAGGTATCTCAGGGATGCATGGGGCACTGACAGGGCTGGGGGCCAATGCGGGTGCTTCAGTCCGCACAGTCCCTGTTCTTCCCAGCATCTGAGTGTGATATCAAGAATCACGTTGGCAAACCGATAAGAAGAACGTCTGTCATCGTGAATGAGTCATCATATGCTGTTACATAATCAGAACCCTAAGCCCCCGACCAGTGGTTAGAAGCAGAACAAGCTGTGTGAACCGCACATCTAATGCTAACTAGTGTGGCTTTAGAGCAGTGCTTCTAGGGCTCCAGCAAGCCCCGGAGTCTCCTGGAGGGCTGCGGGCACACAAGGGTGGAGGCCACCCTCTGAGTCTCTGATTCAGCAGGTCTGGGGCAGGGCCTGAGCATTTGCATTTCCAGATTCTGGGTGATGCTGCCGACAGCCCAGCACATGCTTCCAGAAGACCACTTCAAAGGTGCAGACGTGAGACAAGCTTGCCAGGGGCCAGTTCTCCATCCTGGTGAGGACGACGGTGAGCAAAGGGGAGCAGGGAAGGCAAACGGCCAAGGGGGCGGAAAGGCTCGAGGTGGGCATGGGTGGGGACAGGAGTAGAGGACAAAATGCCTGCGTCTGTCTCTCCCCAGGGGCGCAAATCCCAGGGGAGATCCACGTGGTTTCTCTGACCTTGGCAGGATTAAGCCCCAATGCCCACACAGGCTTTTTTTTTTTTCACAGAAGTGGATCTTGATGTGGCACAAAGAGAAACAGCTGCTGAGAAAAAGGGAATTGGGTGCTGCTAGGTGCGGATCCTCCCAAGGCGGATCCAGACAGGAGGGCTTGGGTGCAGGCAGCTTATGTGGAAGGTGGTCCCAGGAAGCACAAATGAGGGAGTAGGGAACCAAGTGGAGGAGGCTGGGAAGAAGATAACGGAGACATCAAGGGCAGGTTACCCGTGTGGGTATCTACTCAATTCTTTGGGCTGGAGGTCTTGCCTGTGCTCGCCCTTCCAGGTAAGTGCTTTGCAGTGAAGTGGGCTCCTGGATGGGGACGCCCTCGGGCAGAGACAAGGGCTTGAATGGGAAGTTGTCAGTTTACAGTGATCTGCCCCTCGTGATGTCACGTGAAACAGGAAGAAGATGGCTGAAGGTGAACTTGGGTAGGCTGAGGGGATACAGGATGGTGGGCCAGCAATTTATCTTAGGGGTTTGATCAACATGTAATCAAGTGACAAGAATCTTGTCTTTGTTCTACGATGAGATGCTTGTCACCCTTGAAGCACTGACAGAAGAGGGTGTCCGCTGCCACCCAGACAGTGACTACCAGGATTCTGATCCGGAGAAAAATCATGCGCTTAAAAGCAGAGAAATGCCACCTGCCATTTCAAACAGGCCCTGACCCCGTTCAGGAGGATGAGTAGCAGTGGGCGAAGGCACATCCACTTCCAGAGGATGAATTCACCATGTCCCCTTGCCCAAAATTTAGCTCCAAAAATGATAAAGAAACGCATTATTTTAAACCATCTTAATGTTGACTGTGTCATGAGTTCAAACTATACAAACAAGTAAATGAAATCACTGCAGACTGAGATACATGATGTGAACGAAAAAAACAGGACAGCATGACAGGAAGTCAAGTAAATTGCAGTGACAGTGGGGTGCGTGAGCTGCATTAGCTGTGATGGTCAAGGAGAGCCTCTGAGAAAGTAGCATTTGCTTTTTCTTCCCATGTTACCTGCGAGGGGAACATGAAGTCTGAGGGATGAGAAAGTGGCCACCATGGGGAGCTTCAGGGAAGTAACATGTAATGCCGGAGGAAAGCAAGGGCAAAGACCCTTGGGTAAGAAAGAGGTGGGAGTCTTATAACATCCGTGGTGCCAGGGTGAGTGCTGCCTCGTGTAGGGGGGAAAGGGATATGAAATATGTTTGAAGGAGTAGGTAAGATTCTCCAAAATCCCAGACTCCATGCTAGATATTTCAAGCAGAGAGAATTGAATATGGGGCTTTGCCACACGGGTGAATGGAGAGTTGAGGAGTCAAAGAAGAAGAGCGGTGACAAAATCCAGATGTGAGCAACACCAAGAAACCGACCCCACCCCTAGGCCAGAGGGGCAAAGGGAGAATGCACATGGGGTTCTCTGAGCCCGGGGTCTCTGTGTCCTCCCAGCCAAGCACAATGGGAGCACAGAGAGGGACTGCCCTGTGTTAGAGCTGAAATCATGGATGAAGTCCAGCCAGGGCTGGAGATGTCACGTGAAACAGGAAGCAGGGGCAGGCACACCCAGGGTGCTCTCCTCCTCCCAGCAGCCAGTCTCCGGCCCAGGCCTCCCATTGGCTGAACCTGCAAGGGCAAGGGCTCCTGGGAAACGTAGTTCCTTTCACTGTAGCACATAGGCACAGGTGGAGAGTGGTACCTTATCTGCCATTTAGATGTCATTTCTGCTGCATTCCACGCAGTTAGACCTCAGTGCAGTGGTCAGACTGGGTGCTTAATAAACCTTTGCTGAGTTATCAACTACTCAGGAAATGAGAAAAATTCAAACAAGTGATGTTAAGGACTGTAGTCCTGTTACCCCAAATCTAATAAAGTTCTTCATCCTCAGCAAGACTACCTGACTGCATACAGTTTACCTGATTAATCAAAATATGTTTATATTACTGACGATCGAGAGCTGTAAGCTTCTCCACAGAATTTTCTCAGCCACTTATGTATAGATGATATTCATATTTAGTCTTGCATGTCTAAAACCTGGAAGAAGTCTCCCACAGCAACAGGACAAGGGATGGCACAGGTGTCCTCCAATCTAGCTGGTGAAGTCAGAACTAACTTCCTGCCAAAGAGAATCAGTCCACACTGAGATGATAAACCAGTCCAGGACTGGCTGGTTATCACACGGAGTTTGGAATCCATTCGTACCGAATGTTCTTACATTCCTTCTTCCTGTCCTGCTTCCAGGCATCGCCCTCCCTCTCTCCTGTCGTTCATATGAGGTAGCCAGCATGTACAGGATATGGCTTCATTTTCCTGCTGTGATGTCCTTTGTGATTTCAAAAAGGTTAATTCATTACTTGGTAGAAAATGTGAAATTCAACAAAAATATTGCTTTTCTTACTAAGCAAACTAAGCCCGGTCCAGCTGGGGATGTGATGTAACAGTTTTCTTGGTGGTCTGCCTGCCCTCAAACCCTCAGGTTTCCGTAGCCCTAACGATGTAGCTGTGGACCACAGGGAGCTAGCATTGCCTCCAGGGTGATGTCACAGCTCCTGAATCCTTACGCTGAATAGGGCCAGTTGTGTAGACTCATCAACTGTGCCAGACTCCTGTTCCTGGTCTCTGGAGCTTCAATTTGGGGAAAGTGACCCGTTAGCTTCTAAGGACCAGGGTGAGAGAGGACAAGCTTGAATGTCCTTCACGATGGAGAGATGTGTGCAGGCCAGACAGACATCAGTTCCTCTACCGGTGCACAGGCGACTGCAATGTGAGTGGCTAGTGCTCAGGAACAGCCAGAGAGCTGGAGGACAAGCGCCTTGGCTTCCTTCTCCTGGAGGGGACAGTTCTGAGTCCTCATGCGAGTCCTGAGACCACACCTCGGCTGCTCAGGGCAATGACTACCCATCAACTCACCCTTCACTGCCCTCACCTCCACACTTCCGATCTGTCTTCCTCACTCCCTTACAAGTGCTTCCTGGAATCCCCTCTCAGATAACCTGCTTGCCCCTAAATCCTGCTCTCAGGCCTGCCTGTGGGGAGAACAAATCCAGACAAAGAGAGGGACATGAGCAGATGAGCTACCCTGAACGGGAGGCAAGTGGGCTGGAAGGTGACAGAAGAGGACGAGGTAAGAGAGTGGCGGTCGGGGAAGAGCAGCCAGGCAAGAATGCGCACGCAGGGGCTCTGAGCGTCCAGCCTTGTGCAATCCCCAGGCCTGCCCAGCTCCATTTGGAAGGAGGCCACCTCGGGGTTTCCAGTGCTGGGTGGCGCTGTTGGCATTCGAGGCTCACTCTTTGCTGTAGGGGCTGTCCTGTCACTGTAGAGTGATGAGAAGCATTCCTGGCCTCTACCCACTAGACACCAGAAAGATCCCCCAGTTGTGACAACCAGAAATGTCCCCAGACACTGTTAAATGTCCGCTGGGGGCAGTCGGGGAATGTTGCCTCTTGTGAAACTGGGGGACAGGGCTCTGAAAAGGTGAGGAGGGGCAGTTGGCCTCTGCCAGTGTCCCCCTCCTTTGCACATCCACAGACATGCCCCTTACCAGGTCATTCTTAAGGCTGGCATCTGGCCAGGCTGACTATCCCTGGGTCTGCTGAGATTCCCCCAGGGAGACCAGAGGGCTTGTTGGCTCAGTTGCTTTTCAGAGACCTGACCGGTGGACCTTCTTGTCTCTGACCACTAGATGGCCCCATTGCAATGCTGTACCCAGGAGACGGGGCAGCCAGAAAGGTTCTAATTTCACTCAGCTGAAGAATTTGGGGTTTGACGCATTTTCTAGTCGAATTCTCTGGACCCTTTCTATCCCTGGAACCCAAAATGCTGTATTTCTTCCAAGTGTGTTCGTGGGTGCAGCTGTGTGGAGAGGCCGCCAGAATTTGGCTGTGAGCTCCTGGAAGCTCACCCTGGGCAAGTGTGCATTCTAGCGCCATCACTTCTTCCCTGTCTGCAAAGTCGAGATAAACAAAACACTTATTTCACAGGGCGGCCACGAACGCTAAATGAGACACGATAAGTCCGGTGTGGAGCCCAGGCTGGTCACATAGAGGAGCTCAAAATATATTAGCAGTCCTTACCATTGGAGCCTCTGCCTCCTAGACCTGCCCAGGTGTCTATGAGGGTGGGAGCAGAGTCACGTTTCCTCTCTGGACCTCACTTTACTCCTCTGAAAGACAGCAGTGATGATGCCCTCTCAAGATATCCTCTAACTCCAGAATCCGTCTCTCTATTGAATGTGTAGGATGTGCCAGTCCAAGTTAAAACAAAGGCTATGTTCTTAGCATCTCATTTCATTTTCATAAAAACGTTACAGGAGACACACTTTTCTTATCCTCATCTTACATAAAGGTAAACCAAGGCACAGAGGGCTCAATAGGTGGAGGAGGGATTCAAACCCATTGTCCAGACCCGTCACCTACATGGCTAACCACCCCATAACCTGCAAGGAGAAATGGTCGTTGACATTCCTTCTGCGAAAGAAGGACGGCCTCTCTGTTCACAAAGGTTAAAGTTATTTAGCAAGGAGAGCTCAAAGGGCTTTGACTGCTTTGCAACCTGGGAGTCAGAGCAGGAATGGAAAACACCCATGAGCTGGCATTGTGTCCGGACCTTCCAGGGGTTCCTTGAAAGGGGGTATTTTTCTTTTTTCTTTAATTCCTATGCAGGGGTTGGCAAACTTTTTCTGTAAAAGGCCAGAGAGTAAATAGTTCTCTGTAAATGGCTCTGCAGGCCATATGGTCTCTATTGCAACTACTCAACTCTGTTACTGCAGCACAAAAGCAGTCACGGACACAATGAAAACAGATGGGAGTGGCTGTGTACCAATAAAACTTTATTTATTAAAGGCAGGCAGTGGACTAGATTTGGCTTTCTGGCCTTAGTTTATCAATCCCTGTTAACACAGCGCTTTACCCCAAACTTGTACTGAAGTTTTAGTTGGACCTCATCTGGCCAACAACATTGCCCACTAAATGCAGACTGTGTCCCAACATGGATCCCTAAGTGGCCAAAGACAGAAATCATTTGGCTTTTATTGATAAGGTGTTTTCAAGTGGATTATGTCAGAATGGGGCAGGCTCTGATAAGTGTCTGGGAAAGAGAGCCTGGGGAGGCACAAGGAGAATATGCTGGCTTTTGACCTCTGGGTCTGTCCCAGAGAGGCTGCAGGCAGACCGCACAGGGGACACAGTTTCTCTGCCCAACTCTGAAAGTACACAACGTGAAACATGTGAATGATACTTTCTCACGTCTCACTAAGTTGACCTGCGGAAGCGTCCTCTGCATGTTCTGGTGCACACCTGGGGAGGCAGCTGCTGGCTAGAGGCCACTTTGCCCCGTGCAGAGACAGGAGGGTCTGTCCAGAGTGCATGCTTAGCTGCTTCTGGTGCCCCACGTGATCCCTGTCCATTTACTGCTAGGGAAGAGTCCTGATTCTGCTTCTGCGACAAGTTGTAAAATTTCCCCAATTCAGCCATTGGCAGTGTTAAAACTCAGCAGTGGGTAGCCAGAGGTGGGTTCTGACTTGTAATTCTACACAGGTCCTCGGCAAACCTAAGAAAGTACTGACTCCTTGTTAGGAAAAAGTTTTCAGGGAATAATCAACATATTACATAAACGTATGCAACTCCAGGAAGAAACATCTAGTGAATGAAGCATACAACTTTACACATTTAATAGCCCCAAACCCTATAAAACCAACAAATTCAAAGGATCAGCGTTAGTTTGACATGATAGATGGTATTTGGGTGAAACTAGGTTGTCCATGTTAAATAGTGGAAAGATGTCGTGGCTGAATTCTTTCCTGATGGACTGGCTCTAGTGACCTCATATTATTATTTTCAGTAATTTTCCTCTTAGTAGGGAACTCGTTTTAGCTACAGTTTTATTGTGTTGATGGAGAAGTCACTTCTAATTGTGTGTTACAGAACGGAGTACTCCAGAAAGCAAAAGATGACCATAGAATGATAAAAGTTTCCTTTCATATTCTCTGTGTTGCAGGAGGCCAGTCGCAAGGTGGCACATATAAAAACATCCTGAGAAAGTGATTGGCTCAGAAAAAAAGGTGGTGTCTCAGCTGTGGCCAGCCGCTTGGGAACTGATGAGCTGGTGAGATTCAGTTCTTCTCTTCCCTCTTGTCGATGCATTATATGGCTTGCCCACATAGGTGGCTCCCAGCCAACTTGGTGACAAGCCATAAAGGCGGACACAGCTGGGCAGCTCTGCTGTTGGGCGGCATTGGTAGCTGGCGTGTGTCATGTCCTCAGGAAAATGGAAATGGAAATTTTTGAGATTCTCATTTGAACTTGGGGATCCCCAAGAGAACAACACACTTTGTCCTGTAAGTCTAGAGAACGGTGGCTTTTCAGCGCAATAGGCTTGGTGGTGACTGCTTTTACTTAGATGCTTAGGTTGCCATGTGTAAAAATGTTACTTCACGTTCATAGTTTGAGGAGTGTTGACTAGTTTGCATTCTGATTTTCTACCATTGCTTTGCGTTAGTTTCTTTCTTAAAAATGATTTTATACCATCTACAGAGCCAATTGTTACCAAAGCAACAGTTTTCTGACTTTGTAATGTGAGTGGGAAATAATATTTAATGTATAGAAATTAGGTTGTACATTTGTCCAAAAAATATGCTTTCTTCAAAATTCACCTATGTCTGTAATTTTTGGTTTTGTTTTTGTGTTTGTGTTCATCTTTTGGGTCATGGAAACCAGCAATTCTATGGGTAAAACCGTATGGAATTATTATTTCTGTAGGTCAAACGTAGTGGCAAATGACTGAGTCTGATAGTGCACAGTTACATCATCAGCTTTAGCGATACGATGCACAGGCATTCTCGTTTTTTAATTAAAAAACAGCAACCAACAGAATGGGAAAAAATTTTCACAGTCTACCCATCTGACAAAGGGCTAATGTCCAGAGTCTATCTACAAGGAACTTGAACAGATTTACAAGAAAAAAAGCAAACAACTCCATCAGAAGGTGGGAGAAGGATATGAACAGACACTTCTCAAGAGAAGACATTTATGCAGCCAACAAACATATGGAAAAAAGCTCATCATCACTGGTCATTAGAGAAATGCAAATCAAAACCTCATTGAGATACCACCTCACTCCAGTTAGAATGGCCATCATTAAAAATTCAGGAAACAACAGATGCTGGAGAGGATGTGGAGAAATAGAAACACTTTTACACTGTTGGTGGGAGTGTAAACCAGTTCAACCATTGTTGAAGACAGTGTGGCGATTCCTCAAGGATCTAGCAATAGAAATTCCATTTGACCCAGCAATCCCATTACTGGGTCTATAACTGAAGGATTATAAATCTTTCTATTATAAAGACACATATACACGTATGTTTATTGTGGCACTGTTCACAGTAGCAAGAACTTGGAACCAATCTAAATGCCTCTCAGTGATACACTGGATATGGAAAATGTGGCATATATACACCATGGAATACTAGGCAACCATAAAAAAGGATGAGTTCATGTCCTTTGCAGGAACATGGATGAAGCTGGAAACCATCATTCTAGCAAACTGACACAAGAACAGAAAATCAGACACCACGTGTTCTCACTCGTAAGTGGGTGTTGAACAATGAGAACACATGGACACAGGGAGGGGAACACATCAAACACCAGGAACTTCCAGGAGGTGGGAGGCTAGGGGAAGGATAGTAGGGGGTGGGGGATAGGGAAGGGATAACATTTGGAGAAATATCTAATGTAGACGACAGCGTGATGGATACAGCAAACCACCATGGCATGTGTATACCTATGTAACAAACCTGCACCTTCTGCACATGTACCCCAGAACTTAAAGTATACTTAAAACAGTAAAAATAAATAAATGAATAAATTTCCCAAACTGGATTCTAAATCTAAAAACTAAATGTGAAGCTTCTTATTCAGAAAACAAAATTGCAAAGCTGGCAATGTGATGGACCATGGGGAGAGCAAGAGCTGGAAGCGTGATTGATAATTAGAGGCAGCTCACGGTTCCTGAGCAAGAGCCTCTTCCCCAGTGGCTGATGAATGATGCCCAGAACAACACCTTTGGTGACTCCCATGCTCGTCATCATGGTTCTGGAAGATGTAGCAGAGACAAGTCGCCAGCATGGCT